CTACCTATGATGAAACCGAAATACCCCTCGACTCCATCCACATCTGTCACTTGCCTCAGTATCACGCAACCCCGCTTTCACCCTGTCCTTCTCCACCTGCTCTCTCCATCCCAATCACGGACGACCCCTTCCTACCACTCCTTCAACCTCGAACTCCAATGCTCGCCTAATCCCGACCCTTTCATCCCTTCTCAACACATGTTCATACCACCGCAATCTCGATCTCCTTATCAATGTCACAATGTCCTCATTCAGTCCCATCATTGACATCAGCTCTGTACTACTCCTCCTATCCTTCACTTTAACCCCACACATCATCCTCACCATAGCTCTTTCAGCCCTCTGCAGTACACTTTCCTCCTCTCTCCTCAACACCCAAGTTTCACCACCATATATAATCGCTGCTCTCACACATGCTTTATATACCCTCCCTTTCATCTTCACTGACCATTTCTTTCCACACAATACCCCACAGAAGATCACAGAAGATTCAGAAATGTAAAAATTTAATTAGCCAGAAATGTAATTTTTATTATGCTTGTAATTTTGGAACTGTGTTTCATGCTTACACTACATAATCAAACTTAAAAATCTTTCTTTTGTGCCACACACAAAAACATAAATTGGTATATTTCTAATAGTTGGTAGGTCAGTTTTAAAAGATGTTTCATTTATTAGTTCCAGTTTTTAGTGTCTTAATATTTAATCATTAATTTAAAGTAATTAAGATAAAACATTCATAGATGGACTTAGTGTGACAAACAAAATTGCCTTTTTTTCAAATCATTTTGCCATTTATGTAGTATCATGTCTATAAAATATTTTAAGTTATGTTATTCAGTATCTTTCAGCATCTTACCTTTATGAATATTTACATTTTTTTATAAGCCACAATAATATAGAAATATACATATGCATACTACGCATCATTATTACCCGTTGTTGCTTATTCACTACTGCAGTAATAATTTTCTTAAATGATGATAAATTATTGGTATCTCTGTAAGTTATCAGTACATCTGTAATTTTCAGTTTGGTTAATTATTCGCTAAAAATGTTGGTATATGTAGTGCCTATGTTATTGGTGGCACATCAGTATTTTTTGCTTCATCTAATTGTTCCCATGTCTATATAAAAGTATATGATTTTATTTCAGTTTGCAGATGAAATTGTTGTTTGTTTTTTGCATGATTATTTTATTTTATTTTGCAAAAAAATACTTTCAAAACAATTTTAGCATTTGATTGAATTTTCATTTAAATCATAAACATGTTTTATGATGTGGTAGGATAACTTGGAGAAGGAGATACTGCGCATGTCGAATGATGAGCTGGTCAGCAGGACAAGATTGCTGGACAATGAAATTAAAGTATTAATTAATTGAAAATTAATTGATTTATTTTTTGTATTTTCTTTTAAAATTTAATTTTAAACCTAGAATTTTGTTCCATTAGATTATGAGATCAGAAGTCATGAGAATATCCCATGAACTGCAAGCTCAAAAAGACAAAATAAAGGAGAATACAGAAAAGATTAAAGTGAACAAAACGTTGCCATACCTGGTTTCCAATGTCATTGAGGTGCAAAAAAATTTTTCATCCATTACTTTTAACTATCTTTATTAACTATTTACTGTACTTTTTTCAGTTGTTGGACGTTGATCCTCAGGACCAAGCAGAAGAGGAGGGTGCCAACATAGACCTTGACTCCCAGAGAAAGGGAAAGTGTGCAGTCATTAAAACATCAACCAGACAGGTTCGACAATGGATTCCTTTAGTTTCTTTAATATTGTTATACATTTTGAATTCCATTAGCTAACCATCATTCACATTGAAAATATCAGAAGGTTTTTTAGAAAATGTCAAATCTATCTCTTTTTTTATGGTTGTGTTTGGTATTTTACCAAAAATTTTTTGTTAGTGAAAATAATTTTAATCTAGCGAATACAATGATATAAATATATAATAATAATTGTTATTATTGTCAAAAATAACCAGGAATATTAAATTGAAAATATAAAAGTGTTTTTTCTTGTTTCATGTTTAGTGATTAGGTACAGAGATTTAACCGCATTTATTTTGATAGAACGATAATAATAATATTCATCAATGATAGTAGATATCACCTTGAAATTTAAAAAATTTAGATTCAGTTTTTACATTGTTTAAATTATTCATATGGTAACAATTCTCTGATACAGGCAATGCATATTTGATGTAGGAAAAATGAATTGGGGCTGTGATATTAATTTAAAAAAAAAGTAACAATATAGTACACAACATTATCTAAGAGAAGACTTTATTGTTGGTATTGAAGTATGAGCAACTGTTTTTGACTCATCATTTGAAATTTTTTTTATTGAAGGTTTTTGCAATTGTATCTGCTTCAAAGGTTTTTTTAATATAAGATAGATATGAACTTTTGTGGGGTTTTGAAAAGACACCTGTTTTATTAGATTATACAGAACTGTTGAATCCAAATTAAACATTTTTGGTTGAACGGTCATAAATTTTTGAAACAAAATACATTTTTACATTTAAAATGCAGACATATTTTTTGCCTGTGATTGGTTTAGTTGACCCTGAACAGTTGAAGCCTGGGGATCTTGTGGTCAGTTGATTTTTTTACTTTCATGTTTGTGATACTTATTAATGATCATCAATTTCAGTTTTAAGCTTTGTCGTTGTTATTATTTCAAGGGAGTTAACAAAGATTCTTACTTGATTCTTGAGACACTGCCTGCCGAGTAAGCCATTTGAAATTGGTTTGTGTAATAATTAAAAGCATAAAATATATTTCCAATAATTTTAGTAAGTTAGTTTTGTTAACTTTGACATGTTTTAAAACTGCTTTTCTCTAATTACTTCAATTACAAAGCTCTGATTGTGACTTGAAACTAGGTAAATAAATTAAGAAATTGAGAGGCAGAAAATTATTAAACATTGATTATAATTTACAAGGAAGGATGAGCTAACTTAATATTTAAAATTGTTTAATTTTATTAAACGTGTTTTGGAAAGCTCAATTCAAAGGTTTATCTAGTTGAAATGATGATGAATAAATGTTAGAATTTATGCTATATGAATAAAGGTACGATTCTCGTGTGAAGGCCATGGAAGTTGACGAACGACCAACGGAGCAGTACAGTGACATTGGAGGACTGGACAAACAAATTCAAGAAGTACATCATCATCATCATATATTCAATTTTTACCTGTCTTGATACCTTTTTTAACTCTGAAAAAATATTAAACATATTAGCATCTAATATAATCTGAATTGTTGAAGTTGATTGAAGCAGTGGTCCTTCCCATGACGCACAAGGATCGATTCACAGCACTGGGCATCCAGCCTCCTAAAGGTTTGCAGTTCATTAGATGTATTCAGCATAATATTTGTCATCAAACATCATGACCTTTTCGTTTTATGAACATGAACAGCCATATATAATCGAATTGTTTTTAAAAAGTTTAAGAGGAAGTGCAAACATGATGAAAAAACTTCTGCATGATACCGAGAGCATTGTCAAGAGAATTTATTAATTTATAAAATATCAAATTTGAAGAAAATGTCGATGTATTATTTTTTGATTAAAGTTAATGTATCTCATCAGGGGTTTTACTGTATGGACCACCTGGAACAGGCAAAACACTGTTGGCTCGAGCGTGTGCTGCTCAAACCAAATCAACTTTTTTGAAATTAGCAGGGCCTCAGTTAGTACAAATGTTCATTGGTGATGGAGCTAAACTGGTCCGAGATGCTTTTTCTCTAGCCAAGGAAAAGGCACCTGCAATTATTTTCATTGATGAATTGGATGCCATCGGCACAAAAAGGTTGTTTTGAAATTTTGGTTGCTGCTTTTTAAAACTAAATTAATTTCTTAGAACACATTTTTGGGACCATTCCACAGATTATTTTAAAGCTTTTGAATTACAGATGCAACTTTTTCAAATAAATATTTAATATCTTTATTCACTTTCTTGTTTTTGCGTATAATCAAATTTCTGTGACTAGGTTTTTTGTTTTCTTGCTTCTGTTGGTTAAATTGTTAGATTCAATACATTGTATCAATTTTTGACATTAATCTAAAAAGTATTTAAATTTTGAAAGCACGACTCATTGAACTCTGTAATTTCAACTGTTGACAATCTTAGTCAACACGAATATTTAACTTGCTTATTGCCGCTCATCATCAATTTTGCACAACAGTTTTGTCTTTTAACAGGTTTGATAGCGAAAAAGCAGGTGACAGAGAGGTTCAGAGAACCATGCTGGAACTACTCAACCAGTTAGATGGCTTTCAATCCAACCACGACATAAAAGTATGTGCTGGATACTTATATATACATTCATGAGTTTTTAATATATATTTTTTTTATAATCAAGAATTAAAATGCATTAGCCTTTTTCAACATAGTCTTATGCTCCAACACAGCACTCAATTATTTTTTGACTATGCAGCATATTTCTATATTAAGGTTTCAACATATTTGAGAGCGTTAAGTTGGTTTAAGTTTTTACAAATATGTTGTCACATTTTGAAAAATGGCCAATCAAATTTGTTGTCTACGAATTCTGTTTTAGTTTGATTCTGTGGTCCTGCGATTGAGAGTTTTAGAGTTCAAGACTTAATTAAAAGTAGAAGCTAAGAGCTCTCTATTGAACTTCCTATATTTATTCAATAGAGAAGAAAGTTAATTCGGCCAAAAATAATAGATTCAGACAATGAGGATGATTATAAGGATAGTATAGCGATAATGCTTGTTAGAATGAAGATAATTTTCAAACGTTTAAAGCATGCATAGTTTGAGACTATAGATATCTTTTAGCACAAAAAAAAACATTTCACATCATTAAAGTAACAAGATGGATTTAACTCAATTGCTGTTAAGAAAGGATATCGTTTCAGTTTGTAACATTGCTTATTTAAAAATATTATAAAAATGTTTATATGTATTATGACAATAGATAAGTTGATGTCTATTAAGAAATTGTGTAAGAGATTTACTTCCTAGCATTTTTTATAACAGGAGCCCATTTATGTACGCAATAACTTTACAGGTAATAGCGGCGACCAATCGTGTGGATATACTTGATCCAGCTCTTTTGAGATCTGGTCGACTGGATAGGAAGATAGAATTTCCTGCTCCTAATGAAGAGGCCCGTGCTCGTATCATGCAGATACATTCAAGGAAAATGAACGTTAAGTTTGTAGTCAATTCTCTCTGATGTTAACTTTCACTTGAAATTTCTTGTAAGATAAGTTGTCAAGATGCCAGTTCGACTCGATGTTGCGCTTTTTTCTCTGGATCGATTAAATTTGTGCAATATATCTTTCTTGACAGCAATGACGTGAACTACGAGGAGCTCGCAAGGTGCACTGACGATTTCAATGGCGCACAATGCAAGGCAGTCTGTGTTGAGGCAGTAAGTTTAATTTTACATTTTTTTGTGTGTGGGCAAAATTTTTCAGCCGCTTTGAATAATCGGTTTTATTTATTGCCACAACGTTAAGCAGCGGTTTTTACATATAACAACCTATCTACATAAAAGGGTATGATAGCCTTAAGAAGGGGTGCCACAGAACTGAATCACGAAGACTACATGGATGCAATACTGGAAGTCCAAGCCAAAAAGAAAGCCAACCTAAATTATTATGCTTAAGTTTTACATAAAGTTATATTTTCATTAAAAAACACAGTTTGATTAAAGTGACAGAATTTTTGTATTAAAAAATTTACAATCGATTCTTTTATACTTAAAAAAGACGTTCTTATTTTTCATGGTCGCTTCTGTCAACGCACGTGACTTTAAACTTCTTGTGCACGTGGATTATGTTGATGCCCTTCGTCTAGAAGCGAATGATTACAAGTTATTTCAATAGGTGAAAGTATTGTTGGAAATCAAATCTTACATTTATAGTTTCTTCTACTAAAAGATCGTGTTTGTTTGCGATATCTTTTAAGGTTTGAATTTGTTCAGCTTTGAACTGGAATGCTGGAAGTGGCAATTCCATAATCTCCTCGTCCGCTACGAATGACCTTGAACAAGTTCAACAAGTGCCATAAAAAACATTAAATATTAATATAGACATCCTAACTTCAAAAATCGTTTAATTTTTAAAGATATAAATATATTACTTGATGCTGCTCTCAATCGATGCTACGAATTCCTTTTCACTCGACCATTGGTTGCCTTTTTTCATATCATTCTCACAATTCAAAATGCAAGAACGAAATATATTGTAATTCCTGAAAATTTAAAAGTGTTTTAAGGATTATTGTTTGAAAGCCTGACGCATAAACGACACTTCAGAGGTTTGCTGCCACTGTGTCGTTCATTGAATTTATACATCGCACGTAAACCGACCCACAAATTCCTAACACAGCCAGCCTCGAGTTTTACACAGCAGCCCAGCATGTTTGCATTGCAGTCGTGCATTGTACTTTTGTGCGAAACGTTGCATTCCAAAATCTTTGACTTTGTTTTTAACATATAGACCCTATCCTATAAAAATATTATTAGAAACACGTGAAGCTGTGATGGACTAGCTGCTAAGCTTACTTTGGTGTAAAGATTGGTTGTGCATCAATCTCATATGGCTGATGCTGAGTCAGTCGTTTATGAATTTAGGTTGATATCTACTCATCACTATTCCCCATTCATTGAAATTTAAAAAACTGATCTTTCTTAGATAATGTAAGCAGCTTTGACGATTATGATATAAAGTCCAAATAAATTCATTCTGTTTTCGTTTTTGGAGTCTAGTTTATTTGATGTATCGTTTATGAATTTAGGTTGATATCTACTCATCACTATTCCCCATTCATTGAAATTTAAAAAACCGATCTTTCTTAGAAAATGTAAGCAGCTTTGACGATTATGATATAAAGTCCAAATAAATTCATTCTGTTTTTGTTTTTGGAGTCTAGTTTATTTGATGTATCGTTTATCAGGAAATGCACTTGAAAATTTTGTTACTTTATTATGTCTTTTAAAAAACGAACGCCGTTCATGAAAAATTATCATCGACCATAAACATCAACACTGTCGAAAATGTCGGGGAATTTCTAGAAATTACTCAATGTTTGCTATGCACAAACAAACTACAACGGATAACCGGGTTGGATTAGCAATTAGAGCCGTTTCTGATTAATGTTTTATCAAATTACTTTCCAATATCAAACTTGCCGCATCCAAAAAAATAAAAAACGTTGTTATCAACCAATCACATTGTCAGTTTCGCCCATTGGCCAACCACTGCTTTGGAGTTATTTCTCTTTCAGTTTTGGATTATTGAACATTTTAGCTTACTGGCCGGGTTAAAAATTAAGTCTAGCATGTTTTTTTAGCAACACTTTCAAGATTTTTTTATAACAGTGCTTTGTGAATTTTCTGATATAACAATAACAAAAACAACAACAATAAATAAACAATTGGGCGAATAGTGAAGAAAGTTGAATAAAAAAGCGAACAAAAACAACCTGTTGGCCTTTTCTAATTCAGTTAATATTTCTCTTTTGTTGGGTTTTAAACGGTTAGCACGCTCTAAATAAGATATTGCAGTTTTAAATTCTCCAACCTGTTTCAGAGCCTGAAAAATGTTTTTCTATATATAGGAAGGAAATCATTGTAGAGTTTTCATATTCATTATTATTTTATTTTTATGCAAAAATCAAGTTATTTATAAAAAACTTTTCAATTTTGCAGTATTATCAGCTAGGAATAGTAAAGCAATTCCTCAAACGGTATTTTCAGATTTTCTAAACATTCAAATAAGAACAACACTTGGTTAAGTAAACATTAAACTTCGACTTCAAGTCCTCAAGCATTTTATCTTTCCAAATCGTTCCCAGCCTAGCTAACCATTTTTTTTAATTTTTAGGCAATCGCTTAACATTTTTACGCAATTACTTAGCACCTTTCCACGTACTTAAACCATCTCCGCTTAGATTCTCTTATTACGCCGCCTCCTTAGATTTTCTAATCTAAGTTGATTTCTTATCTGCAAGTTGCCAATAATAAAAGTCTCTATAAAATGTAACTTGTCTCCCATACCTACCGCATAGATCTAAACTCCTTTTGTTCCCAGCTGTCACAACTGAAGTCTTTTAATAATAATAATAATAATAAAAATTCATTTATATCTCCACAATCCAACACCACACTCCACATTATATTTCTATCAAATCAATCATGACATGACATTTCAACTTACACACTCTCAGTTCAGCACATACTATGAAGATAAACACTTAAATTCGTATCTTTTTTTCAAACCTCATTTTTAACCTCATCAATCAAATCACATAATGAGTTGACATGGGCCTCTTTAATTATTATCTTTTCTAGTCTGCTGAAGCTGCTAAACTTTTAGTGCCATGCAATCTTTACACCTCTTTACTACCTTTTAATTTTGCTGCCCCATACTCCCACTGATTTAAACGAAATTATGACGAAACCTAAAAAATAAAAAGTATATCGAACCTTGCCCTTGAAATAGAGAGCTTTAACATTGTTGCCATCTTGTAGCTTGAATATTTCATTGCAATGGTGAATTGCTCGAACTGACTGTCTCAACTTCAAATGACACAGAGCCATATTAGTATGCAACTTTATCATTTCCTTCAAATTAAATAAAATTTAGTCCTATCATATCAATTACTGAAATCATACGGGTAGCATGTAAATAAATTCAACAGCTTTTAATAGACTCAGTAGGTTCAGACTGCTTCAAAAATTTTGAATTGGTTCAAGATTTAAGAAAACATTTGAAAAATTTCATTAAAAACTAGCCTACAAATTTGAAGAACTCATCATTTACACAAGAAAAAGTGAAAAAATTTGAAATAACTACTAACCGGTTTTATCGAATTTTCTTCGATCTCATCTTTCAAATTATGATCCAGAAGAATATTTAAGGCCTTGAAATCAAGCAAATGTATTTAATTGGATTTATATCTTTCATTTTATATATATAAATTTTATCAATGACATTCATAAAACAACATAGCACAACACAACATACAATAATAGTGCTTATGAGGGGCGTGAAGTAAGTCAATTTGCTTCTAACAAACATTAATTCACCTATTCGTTCATTCATTCATTTATTTATTTTTATAGAAGTGCATTATAATTTACTGAAAGCTCACCGCATATTTCCTTTCATTCAACATGCACGAATTTGATTGATTATATCATTATTTTTTCATTAAATAAAAAGCATTAAATATTCAACTTGCTTACATTTGAATAAAACTTCAAAGCCAAATAAAATTTGTTATTATGGAAATGCTTCTTTGCTATCTGTAAAAAATAACGGTAACTTATAAATTGTTAAAATTTTGACTCAAAATATATTCGGAAATAACGAAAAATACATTTCTGATGCAGCCACTTCCTTTCATCATGACGTCAAAGGGTGCGTTCTTTCTTTCTCTCTACAGAAGATATAATGACGTCAGCATCATAATAATGAATTAAAATATTTGTGTATTGAATCATTTTCATTTATCGTATTACTATTAGACATAAATATCATTTTGTTTCAGGTGAGCAAAAGGATAAATTTATCATATCAATAAAATGTTGATTTTATTAGATTTTAAAGATAAATTTTCTATAATCATTCAAAATACTACTGATGAGTATTTTGAATGGATGGTGGAATAAAAAAAAAATTTCAGACAGACAGCTAGATAGATATACAAACAGAAAGACAGATAGACAGACAGGCAGAGAGATAGATAGAATAAATGAATCCTTTAAAACATCGACAACATAAAATATATTGACGATAAAAGATATTTTAAAATAAAAATAAATGAAACATTCATACCACAGGCAAAGAGAAATACTCATCTTTGACATCGCCAGGAGCAGTAAAATCTAAAACTTCTATTATATAAAGGCCTGGATAAAAATATAATTGAACGTTTTCCATTTAAAAGTTTCAATTCAAACATAGATACATATTTCAAACCAATTAACCATTAACATTTTAATAACATACCAAATAAATTAAGAATAAACTTCTTTTTTAAATTATGCATGCAAACATTATAAGCTGTTTATTCACAACACTAAATTCTAATAGGCTGAAAATTTTATCAAATTAAAAAATTAACAAAGCTCTTTTGCTTGAAAAAATTGAGCAAATGATAAAAATGTACATTACGTGAATGAAGTACCGGAAAGAAAATGAAACATACAAATGGCGTCTGGAGGTATACGAGGAGGACAGCCTCTGCTTCCGTAAGCATATTCAGGACATATGAGGAACCTTCAGATAAAATAATATTCAAGTGATTGAATACAAAAAAAATATTATTGCTACTGATGCTTGTAGTTTACTGGAGCATCAAAGTTCCCATTAAAAAGTGTTTGACAAGTGTTCTTAATATTTTGATTTTGGGTATAACGTTAGTAATCACACAAAAAGGTTGTTAATGATTATTTGTGTGTAATATTCGATATATCATTAAAATTTTTTGAACATATTTCTAATAAAAATTAATAAGGGATTTTTAATTTTGGGTCTCATTTGCAGACATTTCAATTATCTAACCAAAAATTTCTTCATATTGTAATGTACAAATCATTAGCGAGGTCTCAGGTTGAATATGCAGCAAGTCTTTGGTCTCCAAAAACAGCGAGGGAGGTTGAGGCTGCCGAACGTGTACAGACAGGGGAAACAAAATTGATCCCTGGAATTCAACACAGGAAAAATGAAGATAGATTGAAGCAGTTGAAGATTCCAATGTTGAGATTTAGAAGGCTCATAGGAAACCTTATAACCTTGTCCAAGATGATGAAGAGTGATGCCAAGAAAGGCTTTTCCTAAAAAATATAGCACACCAATGGAAAAACAGGAGGACATGGAGTGAAGTTGGATGTGCAATCATTTAATTCGAATTTAAGAAAAAAACCGTTGAATAGTGTAGAATGGGTTGAATGAGGGCATTGTTTATGCTGGAAGTGCGAGTAAATTTAGACAGAAGTATAACATTTTTAGTCATTCTGACATGGTTTTGTGTTGGAAAGTCAATTTTTAATCTGTGTGATAATATTTACTATTCTTGCTATAAAAATTTTTTCTACGCTATAATTTTTCTATTGTTTGAAGCAGTATTACTATGTTATTTTTTTAATTTCAATAAATTGTTTAATTTTTATTTGGACATTAGTACTTCAAGTCTATGCTCATTAATTTCTACATTTACGTTGTGTTATGTTATGATAAAGATAATAAATTGGAGGCAAATTAAAACAGAGAAAAACTCCATTTATGAATGTTTATTTGAGGGTACCTTGATACTTCTCTTTTCTTCATGCTCGCAACTGCAACTTCAAAGCCTTCTATTGTGTTGCCGCTACCTGCAAAAAACGTGATTTAACTGATGAAGTCATTTAAAAAAAAAAAAAAAAACAGGAACTAGCCTAAATCAAAATTGAAAACTTTTCCTCTTGATGTTGTACAATCAAATGGTTCAAGGGAATATTCCAGGTAAGCAGAGTAATGAACTGAAAGTTGAAATAATTAGGTTCAACAGAATGAAATAGAAAAAATGGCATTTTAGTTTATGGTCCTTAAATTCATGTTAAGCTTATAAAACACAGTCCAAATCTAATTTTAACTGTGAGCATTTTGAATAAAACAAAATGTAACTGTAACAACAACATAATCAGTATTGTGTGTGGGAGTGAGTGAGTGTGTGTGTGGTGTGTGTGTGTGCGCGTGTCACACTTTTAGGAAATTTCTACAAGTGGTTTAAATTTTTTCAACTAACATGTCATAATAAGTTATTGTTATAATTAGGCACTTATTTAAGCACAAATTTATACACTAGATCAGATACTCCAAATGAATCTAAAAATATTTATATCTTCAGAATGTTCAAATGGTTTATTTTGGTGGAAAGAAGTTTGAAGAAATTAAAAAAATTTAGCAAAATTATTAACGTTTCTCTGAAAAACTTTTTCATTTAGGAGGCAAAATCAAATGAAATTTAACGCACTTCACTTGTTTACAACGATGAGGTTAGCTGTGTGATTGTGTTAAATAGAAAGGACATCGAACAACTTGTCAGATAACAGCTTGGGTAGGATGCTACATAACGAATAATGGACAAATTGAATGTGGCCTGAGGAATGATGAATCTACATCAGTTCTGCACTGATCCAGTTACCATTTTTTTAAATTACTAACTTTTTTAAACAAAAATGCTTCATTTTTTACAGATTTCTTTTCGCAAAAAAATTAGTCTTGTAATAAATGATTTCAGACAGATATTAAAACAAATATATAATAAAATAAAAAACACCTTTTCAACGCTTTCAATATAAAACATAATTTTTGATGCAAAATTGGCTAAAACTAATAAAATATTCATTCAAAAACAAATAGTCAAGAAGTAGTTTAATATTTTATAATATTCAATCTAATATTTAATAGCAAGAGTTGAAGTTGCAAAAACATAAAACCTGTTACATTGGACAGTGGTGAGATGGCAGTTCCAAAACTTTGTTTTACAACTTGTTTCAAAACTAATCCATCGTCAGTTATAGCTACAAAATCTTTTACTAGTTCATCAAAGGAATTACTGATGAAGCCAGGTATTTGTTCCTTATTTACATTGTCAACCTCAATAGTATCAAAATTCCTTCCTTCAGAATCATAGCAAGCATAATTTGATTCTAAATCTAGATGGAATGAAAAAAACACTATAAGAAATAAAAAAGAATGAACAAAAAATTTACTCACATGAAAAAAAAATGATAAAAATGGTCAGCGTAAATTTTTAAAAATGTTATGTGAAATTAAATAATGCATCTGATAATAAATTGAAAAATTAAATTAATAAAAAATTTAAGTTGTAAAACAATTAAATTTTACTAATATCTTCAGAAAAAGTTCTTGAAAATTAAGCTATCATAATAAATTAAAAAAACAGTTATTGGGAGTAGTAATTCAGAACATGAGCACTAAACAACCAACTTGAAACTTATTAACCTTCTATCTGATTATCTACATTGGAAATTTCAAAAATGGCTCCAGCTTCAATTAAAGAATTCAGTTCAAGTCCGTCTTTGATATGCACCGTGCCAATCACTTCACATTCTTCTTCGCATGACTTTTCCATCATTTATCAGAGATCAGAAGTCTAAAATAAATAATTACAAGATTATTTATAAATGATAACAACAACAATAGTAACAATTGTCATCAACGCTTAAAAAATCATCTATCTTCTGAACTATCATATGCCTTGCTTGCTAGCCAAGAGCTTCCTAAAATGCAGTGGCTAAATACAAGACAGCAGGCTGAAGTGGAGGCCATTTAGTACATGGCATGTACTAAGCCCTGAATAACCCAAGTATACAAAAACCAGAAGATGTCTGTCAACCAAGTTTACAATTAGAACGTTATCTATAGGTCATTTATTTAATATTTACTATACTTCCAGTATAGCTTTAAAACTGAACGTTTGTTAATGAACGTTTGGTAGCTTTTCACAATCTCAAGTGACCACAGCACTACTAAACTATAGTCAGTATCAATCAGCATCAGCATTGATAAATTTATTTTAGAACTTAGCTAGCATTTTTTTGCCAATCAGGGCACAGAAACTAAAAAATAGAAAAAAAAATAGAAACTACTAGATAACTAGGATTTAAAAAAATAATTTTAATAGGTAATTTCGGTAAAACAGGAGATAGGTACTCCTATGGTATCGTCCATGTTTACAAACAATCATAATGTACTTTTAATAAATTAACTCCGCCCATTTTGAATTATCTAGCGCTTGATTATTTATTTATATCAAATTACAAATAATTTAATTAGGTAAGTTTTTTAGATCATTACTTGTCAAATAGTTGAAATAGTGAACATTAAATAAAAAAAAGTTAAAATATAAGTAAATTTCTGTTTTTATAACAATCAATGGCTTATGGAGTGGTCAACAGGGTTAGGGTTAGCGTTAGGGCCTCCCTCTTTAAAAAATTTTCAATCATTTCACAAATATGGAGTGGTTAAAATTTTCGATCATTTGTGAAATGATTGAAAAAATTTTTTTAAATGGAGGCCCTAACCCTGTTAACCACTCCATAAGCCATTCATATTTGACAAGTAATGATCTAAAAAACTTACCTAAGAATTAACTTGTATTAAATTACTTACCTAAGAATTAACTTGTATTAAATTATTTTCAATTTGATATAAATAAATAAATAATCAAGCGCTAGATAATTCAAAATGGGTGGAGTCAATTTATTAAAAGTACATTATGATTGTTTGTAAACATGGATGATACCATAGGAGTACCTATCTCCCGTTTTACCGGTAACTCTAACCCTGCTAACCACTCCATAAGCCATAACATAAGCTATTGATTGATTGATAAGCCAGAAATTTACTCATATTTAACTTTTTTGTATTTAATGTTCACTATTTCAACTATTTGACAAGTAATGATCTAAAAAACTTACCTAATTAAATTATTTTCAATTTGATATAAATAAATAATCAAGCGCTAGATAATTCAAAATGGGCGGAGTTAATTTATTAAAAGTACATTATGATTGTTTGTATTTGTAAACATGGACGATTCCACAGGAGTACCTATCCAACGTTTTACCAATTTCTAGATGCAGAATCAAGAAAAAATAACATAAATAAACAATTTCAAGCTATAACAGTTGATTAAAAAATTAACTTACCTCAACTTTTGGCTAACTACGCTAACCGTGGAATTCTACTATTAAAATACGCTCGCCAATATCACCAACCAAACAATTGAACGTGTGGAGCACCAAACTGATTTTACTATACTATGGAAAGACTATATATATATATATTTATATAATTATATAAATATATATTATATATACTGATATAAATATATAGAAAGACTAAAAAGCGTGATGATAATTTGCATAAAACCCAAAGTGAAATTTTATAAATTTATTTAAAATTGTAGACATTTTTACTTCATATATGTACATGGAATTTCCAGCGAGCTATAAATATTTTGTGGAAATTTCAGACAGGAATTGCCCGTCGTATCCCTCCTATAGCAGGAAAAAGATGGCCGCCCTGCCTGTTAACGATTCATTCGATGAAAAGTCTGCCGAATGTAAGTTAAGAAATTTGTTTATCTTTTTTAATTATTTTTAATCTTAGTCTCTTAACTAACTTAATTATATATAACGGAGTTGTATTGTAATATTATACATTATGATTATATAGTATAAAAATATATATATTTCAAGTATATATAATATAATTATATATATATATTTATATTGTCAAGAATTTGTCTTCTACCAGCATATATATTTATATATATTAGTATATATATTAACAAATATCACTGCATTTTATATTTTATACAGAAAAATGAATAGAAGGGTAATTGACAACTTTACTTTTCTACATAAATAAGATAAAAAAACAATGATGAAAATACATTACAAAATATTGAAAAACTGATAAAAATTTACTTATATATATATATATATATATATATATATATATATATATATATATATATAAGTAAATTGTATTGAAATACCTGTTCCATAACTTTGGTTATCATAGCTCATAGCAACTGGATTGAGATTTTAAAATGTATGTATCATCGGCATGATGCTGAACTAGTGCATGTCTTGCAAGAACTAACAATAATTTGTGAGCAACATGATTGTTTATAATTGTGAAATATAGCTTTATCCCATGTTTGTTTAATAATATTAATATTCATATTTTAAAATTTGGTTTAATTAGGTGCGTTATCTGACATTCTTTCAGCATTTAAAAATGTGGAAAATGAGAAAAAAATGAAAGATGCCCTAGATGATGCAGGAAACGACATGCTAATGATCATGCAATTTATATTTCCTATTGCCACAAAAATTCAAATGAATGTTATACCAAAATATGGTTTTTCTGGCGATGGAGACGGTAAGTTTTTAATTCTTATTGATCATATTAGTGCATTTTTTAAAACAATTTATATATATCTTCATTCAATTAAATTTTTTAAATATAAATTAAGCATTTCTTAAACTTCTCGTCTGTTATAACACTCCCTGAAAATTGTCGAGAAAATCATTGAGAAAAGATTAACGTCGAGCATCACAATCAGAAATTATCAATTTGGTTTCCTAGCGGGAAAATCAACAATTGATGATATTCACATCCTTCGGCAACTGCAAGAGAAATACCTCGCAAAGCATCAACAACTATCACACATTTTTGTAGATTTTGAAAAAGCATTTGACCGAGTTCCCGGTGAAGCAATCAGGTGGAGTCTACGTCGACAACTCATTCCAGAATATCTTGTTCAACTTGTGATGAAAATGTATACCAATACTAAGACGCTCGTCAGCACAATGGTTGGAAACACAGATGCATTTGACATCGGCGTAGGAGTTCACCAAGGCTCGATTCTCAGTCCACTGTTATTTATAACTGTGATGGAAGAAATCACAAAACCGATACGCACTGGTGACATTTGGAATCTAATATATGCTGATGATATCGTTTTAACAGCCACGTCTGAGCAGAATGCAGCACAGATGTTTGAAGATTGAAACACCAGACTGGCCGATCATGGATTCAAAGTCAACATCAGCAAAACCAAAGCAATGAACACTGGTGAACCCATCCAATCCACAGCTACTGGACGATGGCCCTGTTCCGTTGGTAGGTAACAATTCAATCAAGTGTCAGCAGTTTAACCAGTGGTGTCACAAACGTTGTTCAAAAATAATTGGTACTTTATCTAAAGTGTCGAATTTTGTTTGTCCTGCTTGCATCAATCCACAACAACAAATTCGAAATAGCAATGTTTTTGAAGCCATTAAGGTAGAGAAAGTCACATCGTTTCAATATCTAGGGATGTTCTGGATTGTACTGGAACAGCTGAGGCTGCCGTTCGAGCACGCATACGTGCAGCCTGGAATAAGTGGCATCTCCTTGCCTCTATAATGATGCGGCGTGACATCCCACTACCACTACGATCAAGACTTTATAAATCTGTGATACGTCCGGTGTTGTTATATGATGCAGAAACATGGCCAATGACAAACAAACTGGAACAACAACTTCAACGAACCGACATGATAATGCTCCGATGGATGCAACGAATTAGTCTGAAGAACCACATCAAATCTACCGAAATCCTGCGTCGTGCTGGTTTAGATGATATAAAGGACGAATGCCGGCAACACCGTCTGGGGTGGTTTGGTCATGTCAAACGAAGTGGAAACAGTGCCATAACTTCTCTTGCAGATGTTGAAGTACTTGGCACACGTCCCAAAGGCCGTCCAAAGAAGTCCTGGTCGCAAACAATCGAGCAAGACATGAAAGCTTTAAATTTAAATGAAATGGATACAACTGATCGTCTAATTTGGTGCAAAAAGTTGATGGCAAAGAAAACAACGTCCTACCTCGGGGAACCGAGTCTCTGGACGCAAAACGAAAATTGATTGATTGATTTCTTAAACTTCTCGTTAGTCATTGGTTCATCCGTCAAAAGTCAATAAAGTTTTTGCAATAAAGACTAAAATGATGTTAAATTATTGTTGATTTAAAGGGTTTCCATGAGCCATCATTATGTAATTACTAATTAGGCTATTTTACACTGTGTATTATCTTAACTTATTAGTTAACATCGAGGTTCTTTTGCTCCCAAAAATAAAACCATAGTTACATTCTAAGTTTAAAATATTACAGAAAAAAAATTGAACAAAAAATGAATACATAGATACATGCCAACCAAACAATAATTACAATAACAGTAATGCCTGCTTCAGTTTTAACTTTTCGACTTGATAATGGATTTGTTTGTCACCATTATGCCGTTCCATTTTTAGGCAAACTGTTAGATATTTGGCCACATAAGTAGCTAAAAGAATCGATTTTCTTCAGTATCGGTCTTCCATTCTTGCCGTTTGTAGCCAGTAATGCGCCATTGGTTGCCATAATTTTTTTATTGGTATTGGAAAACATGTTTTATTGTCGCAGCTTTTCCCATCCAACGCAAATGATCCTGTAGTTCCTTGGTCGAAGCTGCCGATAGAACATTGTCAGATGACAATGAAGTCCACCACTGAAGTCTTGTAATACTATACTTATTGCATGTTCTACTAGTATATTAAGTAAAATAGTTGAGATATTTCTGTCGCTTTTCTGATTTAGAACTACGGACAAAGAATGCTTACCGCTATAATTGCCGCTCGTTCTGTATATAGAATCCGTATTAAACATATCAAGGGCGGTGGAAAACTATATCTAACTTAGTAAACCATGGTTAATTTCTAATATATTTACCTGTTTTGATACCTTTCGTAACTTGTCGATTCAATCCTTTATCATTTGAACATGTTATTTTGATGGTTTTAGACGATTCACGTTTGTACGATAGTGTTAATTTGTTTTCTGATGTTGCAATTCGTGGACGTTTCTCATGATGTTGAACGAGACTGTAGACTAGACATCTTTGTTACCATTGTCGACGATGGTTTTCAAGAAGTAGATGATGAGAGTAAGTTATGTGTAGAGGTTGTATAGATCGGGAGTTTTTCTATGGAGTTTTTTAATGCAAGATGACAAAAGGAGAGAGAACATCATCCGTTTCTTTAGTAGCATCAATTTCAGTTCTGATTTTTTTAACTCATTTTTTATTTGATTTCACCAACATTTATTTATAATATTCAGTTCAGTGTACACATGTATACACAGAAACAGCGAATATATAAATCTTTGTCCGAATAAATATCATATGGTATATGTAATGTTTGATTTTAATAATATTTTAAATAATTTTGTGCATAATTTTTCTTGAAGGTTTAATACTTTTTACAAGAACGATTCAAAAGTATGAAAAAGAAAACGAAAAAATTAGAATGATGAACTCTCAGTTGCGAAGTTTAGTTTTGCCTGTGTTTCAGCAGTAAATTTTCAAACAAACTTTCAATTTGAATTTTGCTTTGCTTTTGTTCAAAACAGTCACCAAATGTAAAAACTACTGCGATTTACCCTTTAAATTTGTTCAACAACAATTTTGAAAATCTAAAATTGAAATTTATCGTTGTCGAATGATGAAATAAAATGTGTTCTGAATTTAAAAAAAAAAACAATATTTTTAATGTCATTCATCAAGATGAATAAAAACAAATTTACGGTTGCGAGTATTGTTCGTATTTTTTTGTTATGTACATATGTATCGATGAATTAGAATATAGCTTATATATTCAATCAATCAATTAGCTTATAAAGCTCTATTTCCGCGATGTTCAACAGCGCTCCTCAATGAATTTTGAATCAACCAATCAATCAATTAACTTATAAAGCTCTGTTTCCGCGATGTTCAACCGCGCTTCTTAATGAATTTTGAAAACAGATGGGTCTTGAGATCCGCTCTGAACTTTGCAAGTGATGGAGAAGTAGTCAGAGAAGTAGGTAGAGAGTTTCAGAGAAAAAGACCAAAAAAAGCAAAAGCAGATTTGGCAAAAGAGTGTTTAACACGAATTAAGAAAAATCGAGAACAAGAAGACGATCGTAAACCGGGGCGTTTAGGTTCAATTAATATATCCGATAAATACTTAGGAAATAATTTAGATTGAAACTTATACATGAACGTGCAAATTTTAAAAATTATTCTATATTTTATAGGTAGCCAGTGCAAGAGAACAAGATATGGAGATATATGAGAAAAGAAAGGGGCACGAGCAACTAGACGAGCAGCAGAGTTAAAAGCTTTACTTAAAGGATAGAGTATAGAGTCAGGAAGACCATAGTAGAGCGGGTTACAATAATCAATCCTAGATAAGACTAACGAAGTAACAAGAAGAGTAGGATCATCAAGAAAAGGCAAAAGTTTTTTTATTCTACGTAGATGAAAGTAAGAGCTTCTAGCAACACTATTAATCTGAGAAGAGAGAGACATAGTAGAATCAAAGATAAAACCTAGACTTCGAAACTTATGAGAGACATCAAGAGTTTTAGAATCTGGTAAGATAATAGGAGGAATAGTAATAGAGTGTTTAGATTTATTAAAACAAATTAATTCAAATTTAGAAGGATTAAGTTTGAGACACATAGAGGCAGACCAAACGATAATTGAAGAAAGACATAGAGATAGATTGTGAAAAACACTATTGAGATTAGATGGAGGAAAAGAAGTATAAATGTAAGAATTATCAGCATATAGTTGACTAGAGAAATATATAACAACAAGTTATTAATAATACGAGGTAGTTCAGAAGTATAGAGTATAAATAGAAGAGGGCCAAGGATAGAACCCTGAGGTACCCCGAAAGTAAGAGTAGAGGAGTTAGAAGTAAAATTATTGAGAACAACAGAAGAAAAACGATTACAGAGATAAGAAGAAAACCAAGATAGACAAGAATCAGTAATATTAAAAGAAAGATGTAGCAGTCTCAAGAGAATAGTATGATCAACAGTATCAAAAGCCGAGGAAAAGTTAGATTTTGTTGCATGTTGATACTGACAACATTTTTTACATTGATGTTGACGCGTTTTACGTTAGCCTATCAACGTTTCAAGTATTTACTTAAAAGCCAACTAGTAAATAAAATTCAGACAAAAATCCATTATTTATCAATCGTTTTTGTCAGATCAGGGGGTCATTTTCTGCTTGGTGGAGGTAGTTGAAATGGTCGTCTTTTCATAAAATCTGTAGTGAACTATGTGGCGTAATGGCCTAGTGATTAAAGGCGCATGGTCCTGGTCTCTAATCATATCACATGTTTAGTATGTTTAGTAGAGTTCCAAGCAGAGAAGATTTTTCTAAACCGCAACTACCCGCATCCGCAGTTAACGTCCGCAACCGCCAACATCCGCACTACTCATTATCCGCGCCGCACCTGCGAAAAGACAACCTAAATCAGCCACCTTAATCTCATGTTTAAAATTAGAAAGTAGCAACACTAGAAGGCAATCTATTTACAATATAATTATAAGCAGACAGCAGATAATCTGCTGAGAAGACATCTTTTAATTTAAAAAATTTCTAATTTAATAATTGAAATAACATCGGCTAAAACAACGAGCACAAAATGAACGACGATGAGGAACTCGAAGAAGCAATTTATTTAATATTTATGAAGATGTAATGTTATATATATATATGTTAGTACATACATGTTAGTTGGCTGTAACTGTTGGATATTTTTCGCTGCTAGTAAATCTCAATTTTATTCGTTAATTTCGATAAATTTCTGTTGTATTTTAGAATAATCGATTAAGTAAATTTAGTTTAATATAAATTAGTTTAAATAATATTATAATTTTAGCTATTTATAAAGTTTAATTATAGAATAAGTTTTTTTTAATTTGGAGTCACGTGATTGCTCATTATAATCTGTGCGCCGGCATGTCTGCAGCTAAAGGTGAGAAATGTACATGCAGAAAGTGTTTGAAAGAATTAAAGGTGAATAAAAAACGTGTATGCTGTTATCGATGTAATAGTATTTTTCATTTGGAATGTACACTTTTGACTGAACCTATATGCGAGATAGTTGAAGCGTATAACAATTTAAAATGGTTCTGTGACGACTGTGTTGAATCGTCAACCGAACTAAAAGGTTTTGAATTCAAGAAAATGTTCAATGATCTTGAGGCTGGTAGTGCTCAGATTCTGTCAAAGTTGGATATATTTAATGATGAACTCCAACAAGATATGAATAATATTAAAGCAAGTCTTATGTTAAATGAACGTACATTGTTTCGACTTGATAATAATGAATCGTCAGTTCGTAATGAAATAACAAACTTGAAAAATGAAATGGGTAATACGTTCGCTGACATTGTTAAGCGAGAAGTTAAAACCAATGTCAATGTAATCAACAATGAGATGGGTACCACATTTGCCGACATTGTTAGACGTGAAGTCAAAGACCGTGTTGATGTCATTAATGATGGAGTAAAGGCTGTACATAAAACGTTAAATGATGCAACTATATTTAAAGAGAGAGAATTGAATTTAGTTTTCTTCCGCCTGGATGAGGGTAATAGCGACCGTTCTAATATTATGAAAATATTAAAAAATTTATCGGACGAGATATTTGAAAAAGACATTGTCAAAGTTATGAGACTCGGAAAAAAGAAAAATGGTGCTGTTCGACCGATATTGGTAAAAGTTGATAATTTGAATGTCAAAAATAACATCATGCGGAACGTCTCCAGAATGAAGTCGTTGTCTGAAGAGTTTAAACACATTGGTCTTAGCCATGATTTGACTATTGACCAAAGGAAGGAGCACAGGGCTCTGGTTGACAAGGCAAAAGTGGATGAAGCAGCTGATAAGTCGGGTTTTTTATACAGAGTAGTGGGGCCAGTGGGAAGGTGGAGGATTGTAACATTTCATCCGGAGATAAAGTAAATTTAATAAATGTTGGTTTGTTAAATATCAGATCAATTGTTGCAAAATTTGATATTGTTCATGAATTGATTTTGGATGGGCTGGATATTTTTGTGTTAGTTGAGACTTGGCATGGGGCGTCAGATAATATTTCAGTTAAATTGTCAATGCCATCGGGCTTTAATTTTGTGGATTATTTGAGACCCCACGATCCTCATCATGGTGGTTTGATTGTATTTCATAGATCTCGTTTTGGATGCAAAGAAGTTAGTTTACCACTACTGACTACGTTTGAAGCTATTGCTCTTAGATTCATAATAAATAAAACAGATTTTGTTTTGTTGGCGGTATACAGACCTGGCTCGGCATTGGTAAGTGCTTTGTTTTTTGAAGAACTTGTAAATGTATTAGAAAATATTTCTGTTCTAAGTTCAAATGTTTTGCTAGCGGGTGATTTTAATGTTCATCTTGAAAGAGCTAATGATCAGAATACCATTCATTTACTCGAAGTTTTTGAAATGTTTCAATTAACAAATCATGTAAATAAACCGACTCATGTTCTTGGTGGTATACTCGATTTAATTGCCAGTTCTAGTGATTTCCAGGCTACAGATTGTAGAGTTTTAACAAGTGGTGTCTATTCTGATCATGGTTTGGTTTTGGTTCAAATGCCAATAAAACAATTATGTAACAAGAAAAAGATAAAATTAGTTAGATCTTGGAAGTATATGAATGGTGATGACTTAGCAACGCTTGTGGAAAAATCTCCTTTATCTAAACCGTGTCGAAGCGACAACATTGATTGTGAATTTAATATTTTTAATGATGAATTGACGAAGATAGTTAATATAATCGCACCACTTCGTTATGTTAAAATTAGGTGTGATCTAATCTGTCCTTGGTTTGATAAGGAATGTTACAGATCGTCGAAGAAAAGAAAGAAAATATAGAAACTGTTTGCTGCCTGAGCGTCGTGGTGATTGGGTCACAGCTTTGAAGCATAAAACTAAGCTTTTTCAAAAAAGCGAAATTCTTATTGGAAAAAATTAATCAATGATAATAAAAATAGTCCTAAAAATCTATGGAGCATTGTCAACAGAGTATTATGCAATAACAATTCGATTTCAATTCAAGAAGCGCCAGATTATAGCTCTGATAAATTTTTAAATTTTTTTCAAGAGAAAATTGATAGAGTTAGACAAGCTACGACCGTTGCAAATCGACCAGCTTTTGATGAAAGTAAATTAAACAGTGATGAATTGTTTTCATTTTTTCCACCTGTAACTGAAACGGAATTAAAAAAGATTATATTTAATTTACCATCAAAGACGTGTCTATTGGATTTGATTCCTACTTATGTTCTTAAGAAGTATTTAGATTTATTTATTACTTTTTTGACAAGTTTTGTCAATTTGAGCTTGACAACTAGTGCGTTTCCTGCTCGTTGTAAGCATGCAATTGTTCTCCCAATTTTGAAAAAAAATAATGCAGATAGGAGTGATCTAAGGAATTACCGACCAGTTTCAAACTTATGTTTTGTGTCGAAGGTCATCGAACGCGTCGTTGCAAAAAGTTTGTTAAAACACTTAGATAAATATAAATTGATTCCTCTCTACCAGTCTGGATATAGACGTTACCATTCTACGGAAACTGCTTTGTTATATGTTTTATCAGAAATATATGCTGCTATTGATGAGCAAAATGTTTCTCTGTTGACGTTTTTGGATATGTCTGCGGCATTTGATTGTGTAGATCATAATATTCTGTTGGAGAGAATGAACAACGATTTTGGGATTTCGGGCACGGTGATTGATTGGTTTAAGTCTTATCTTTCTGGAAGAACAGAACAAGTCTCTTATAAAAATAATTTATCAAATATAAAACTGGTCTCCTCCGGTGTACCACAGAGTTCTGTGCTTGGACCTATTTTGTTCTTATTATATACAGCTGATCTTTATGGAGTTATCGAGTCATTTGGTTTTAAATACCATGCTTTCGCAGATGACATTCAGATAATTTTAAGTAGTAAACCTGATACCTTCCATTTTGAAATTAACAAGCTTACCGAATGTTTGAATAAATTGGATGTTTGGATGTCGTGTAATTATCTGAAGTTAAATCAGTGCAAGTCCCAGTTTCTTCCTATAGGCACCTGGCAGCAGTTATCAAGGGTTGGTATTAATTCAGTTATAATACAAAATGAAAATGTTCAGTTTTGCCATAGGGCTACAAATTTGGGGTGTATTTTTGACACCAAACTAACTATGAATGATCATATAAAAACAATTGTGAAGACATGTTCATTCCAACTGCAAAGATTGAATCGAGTTAAAAAATCATTGAACAAATCAACATTACAGTCATTAATGCACGCGTTCGTCCATTCACGTTTGTACTATTGCAATATAGCTTGTTTTATGGTTTACCGAACGGATCGATTGTGATGCTTCAGTCCATCCAGAATAGAGCTGCTAAAATTGTTGCAGGTGGTGCTAAATTTGATCGCGTTGCGCCAATTTTGAGGAACCTACATTGGCTAACTGTCAATAAAAGGATAATATCAGGGCCGCCGAGAGGGTATGTCAGCCAAGTCTAAAACTTGGGGC